CGTCGTCGTCCGTCCGTCGTCGTCGTCGTCGTCGTCGTAGTGTGTGTGTGTGTGTGTGTGTGTGTGTGTGTGTGTGTGTGTGTGTGTGTGTGTGTGTGTGTGTGTGTGTGTGTGTGTGTGTGTGTGTGGTTGTCTGAACTGCGTTGCTCATCACATTGCACCCTGGTGCTCTTTATTCCGACCAACGGCAGATGAAGCGGACATGTGTCGCTTGTTGACGTCGCACGCAAACACACACGCGACCGTTCCACACGACCACGCCCTCCTCATCGACTATGGGCCGTTCGCAAAGGTCTGCTTGCTTGAGCAGTGATCGTGTACAATGATGTTGTGGTTGCATGTTGTGGTTGTTGGTTGTATGTTATGGTTGTGTGGTTGTGTGTGCATGTGCGGGTTGTCTCGACATGTCCGCATGCTGCAGCGGCTGTCATCACCACCATCATGATGATCACGCGTGCTCCTCAATACGCGCACTTTGCGTGTGCAGGTCACCGCGTACGCGTTTTGTCTGTTCGTCCGCGCACCAGGTGAGACGCGGGCGGCGTTCCTGCTGTGGTCGCTGGTGCTGTCGTGATCGTGATTGTCGTGACTATCGTTTCACTTCTGGCGTGCAGTTGTGAAAGCACACACATGCACATCATCACACACACACAAAGAAAAACTCACACCATCACACACACCATCACACACACACACATGCAATCATACGATATCACACTGGCAGCTGGGGAATCGCTTCAGCTGGTTGTGGAGGGCTCTGTTGTCCCGTTTCAGGGCGATGTCCTCACAGGAATGCCGGTCCGTTTACCCATGCCAGTGTCATGCGCATGTGTTGCGCTCGTTCTTGTGTCACGAACCAAGTGCACACACAAATAACACACAAACACACGTGCGCACATGCACAGATGGCATGCACCGTGTCAATAGCGCCTTCACGCACTCCTTCATGTGTTTGTGTGTGTGTGTGTGTGTGTGTGTGTGTGTGTTGTTTGCAGCGCCACGACCCATCGCGCATCTTCTGGCAGCCGCTGCTCTGTCATGGCATCGACACGCCAGCTCCCGCCGCACAGGAGCCCTTCACAACGTGTGTGTATGTATGTATGTATGTATGTGTGTGTGTGTGTGTGTGTGTGTGTGTGTGTGTGTGTGTGTGTGTGTGTGTGTGTGTGTGTGTGTGTGTGTGTGTGTGTGTGTGTGTGTGTGGGTTGTTGTTGTTGTCGTTCATGCGCGTGTATGCGCATACGCATACACAAACGCACGCGCACGCACCCACCCACATGCATGAATGCACTCTCTCATCCGTGTCCTGTCGACTTGTTCTTCTCCCTTTTTCCTGCCATCATCACTTCCAACCCCTCAGCCTCAACCTCTCGCTCACTCACACAACTTCGCCAATCATGTCCACCTTACGCCATGCTTGTATCGCCACTCAGGCCGCGTGCGTGGAACGTGTGGGCAGAACTGCCGGACTTCGATGACGCTGACGAGGGGGACGATGATGATGGTGGTGGCGATGGTGATGATGGTGGTGGTTCTGTTGCCTTTGAGGGACAGGCGTTGGACACACGGGAAGAGGCAAGAAGTGCTGACGATGACAACGAGTGGACATGCATTGTGTTCAACCCGCGCGTTCCAGTGCGAGGTGGGCACCGTTGCACGTGTGTATGTGCTGTGTTTCACCTGAAGCACACGTTTGCTTGCACTTGCTGTGCTTTTTCCATGCCCCACACAGCACATGTGTGTGTGTGTGTGTGTCTCTCTCTCTCTCTCTCTGCGTGTGTGTGTGTGTGTGTGTGTGTGTCTGTCTGTCTGTCTCTCTCTCTCTCTCTCTCTCTCTCTCTCTCTCTCTCTCTCTCTCTCTCTCTCTCTCTCTCTCTCTCTCTCTCTCTCTCTCTCTCTCTCTCTCTCTCTCTCTCTCTCTCTCTCTCTCTCTCTCTCTCTCCCCCCCTGTGCCCTCACAGCTTTGCGTGCGTGCTTGTGGCTGTGGGGCGTGTTGGCAGGGACCCGGCTGTTCCGCGTGCGACCTGCTGGGGAAGCGACGGCCGTGTCTGTGCGCCAGTTTGATGTGTTTGGGGTGCTGGCGCACTCGTGTCTGTTCCCCCGACAGCGCCAAGAGGGCGATGGCGATGGCGATGATGGTGCGGCGGGCGAGGTGTTGCACGTGCCGCCACGAGAACACCAAGGAGACGAACATGTGACAGATGCGGATGTGGCGTGAACCCAAACACTCAAACAACCTCCTGCTGCTTGTGCTCGTGCATGTAAATTGTTGTGCCTCTTGCACGCTTTTACTGTCTGAATAAACGCTAATTCAACACGCACATCGCAGCCCAAGATGGACAGACAGACACACACACACACACACACACACACACACACACACACACGACACGACACACACGACACGACACACACACACACACACACACACACACACACACACACACACACACACACACACACACACACACACACACGCACACACACGTGCCACTCACACATAAATCATATATGGATGTTTAAAGGCGAAGTAATGGGACACAGCATCTAAGAGATAGATTAAAGGGTGATGGGGTTGACGAAGGGCTTTGGGGCGTGTGGGTGAAGAAGAGATTCTTGTGTAATATACCCTTTGACCTCATACAGACATACATAGAGACACATAGACAATATGCACACACATGGACACACAGAGAGACACGCACACATGCACACACACATGCACAAACACACAGACACACACACACATACACACACACCTTTGACTTCTTCTGGGCCGCTTTTTGCTGTGCCTGAATCTTTTGCTGTCCACGAGCCATCCTTGGTTGTCACCACCAGATGGGATGGAGGTGGAAGGTGGGAGAGAGAAGGGGGAGGGCGTGGAGAGGGAGGGAGAGCAGCAGCAGCAATGCACAGAGCACAACAAGCGCACCAAGCACAACAAGCACAACAAGCAAGGCGAGCAGCGTTGTGGAAGAGGCACGGGTCGCGACACCATAAAACATTGAAGCCAATATCAGCACATTCGCCAACCAACCACGACAACAACTTGGCATCTGCTCACACCCTACCCCTCCACCAAGCAGCAGCCTACAGCAGCCATGTCTGGCAAGGACGACGACCTGTTCTTTGTGACCAACGTGCAGAAGGCGGGCATTCTGTTCAAGCGCCCGTTCTTGCACGTCTCTGGCAAATGGCAGCGCCGCTTCTTTGTTCTCAAGGACGGCTTTATGCTGTAAGTCTGGCAAGCAAGTGTGCTTGTGTTGTGTTGTGTCGTGTTGTGTTGTGTTGGGTCGCGTTGTGTTGTGTTGTGATGTGTGTTGTTGGATCGTATTTCGAGGTCACGCAGCGTGTCTTGTGACTTGCTGTTGCTTGTGTTGTTGTGGATTGGCGGTGACAGCAGCGTGTATCCTGATGTGCTCGTGCATCTTGCTGGTGCTTTCGTTGCAGGTATTATGCGGAGAAGGAGGCCAAGACATTTGCCGAGACTGGAAACTTCAACATCCATCCCAAGGTCGGGCAATAACTCTCTCTGTGTGTGTGCATGTGTGTGTGTGTGTGCGTGTGTGTGTGTGTGGGTGGGTGGGTGCGTGTGTGGGTGCATGAGTGCATGTGTGTTGACGTTCATGTGTGTGTGTGCACTTGTTCCGTGTCCATTCACTGACCCAATACTTTCACATTCACAATGACAAACTAGGCGTTGTTGCATTCTCTCACTGCCCCTTGCCTCTGGTTCCCCTCACCCAACTGACCCAACTGACCTCACTCACTCACCCACACATACTGACGAATGCAGGGCGTCATTCCACTGGGAGGGTGCCTGGTCAATCACACGACGGAGACCGACAAGCCATATGCCATCTCCATCAACCACCCAGACTTTGGCGAGTCAAACGTCATCGTCGCCACAGACACAGAGGAATCCTTGAAGGATTGGATTGACAAGATCAAGGAGTGCACGCGCATGTACGTACAGCGGGGTCAATCAATGTCATTACGGCCACAGTCAAACGCCTACCCATGTTGGCTGTGTTGCGCTGTAGAAGTGGGCTCTTGTGGCTGCAGCTTAGCTTGTTCACGCCTTGCATGTACAACTAACTCTCCCTCAACACCCCTCATCTTTTGCACCATGCGTGTTTCTTCACACCAGCACGTACAAGAACGCCCAAGTTGGCGAGACGATGATCAAGTGTCTCAAGGCCAAATCGGAGGTCATTGAGGAGCAGCGCAAGGAAAACCAGGAGAAGCTCGAGGTGCCGACAGCGCTCATGCACACATGCAACCAACCACACAGACACATAAAAGGCTTGATGAGCAGGGGGCATGGTGCCCTGCGGGGTGTTCTGCACATATGTTGTGCTTGGTCCTATCTGCCTTCTTCTCACGCGACCACCGGCACCACCACCATCACGGCGTCGCGTGTTGCCAGGCGGAGACGCTTGCGCTGCAAGAGGAGCGAGAGCTTCGGGAACAGATTGAGGAACAACTGCGGCAGCTGCAGGCGGAGAAGGAAGCAAAGGAGCAGGAAGCGATGCAACTCAAGGAGCGAGAGGCCGAGCAGAGACAGTCAGTTGGCCGTAGGCCGTATTGGCTGTGGTGCACCTGCAGATGATGCGTGTTGTCGTGTGGTCGTAGGA